ATAGATAACAATACATTGAAAGCACAGAATATTCTTTACGCTCAAGAATTCAATTCTTGAACGCATAGCATTGTGTGAGTGCGCGCATACCTGTGCTCGCATACAAACAACACATTTCCTAAGGAACAGTAGGTGGACGTCATGTTAAGTAAGAATTCATGATATAACTCATTGGCACCAGTAGTACATGAGTGGCAATTGTTCATATATGCGGCAAACATAGCAACTGTAGCCCGTCTACAGGCACTTGTAGTGGATGTGTGTGTTATGCAAGGGATGCCTATCTATCCGAGTCTGTCATACAATATGTGCGAAGTATTGAAACACTACTCTTCGTCTAGTATTGTTTACAAACATTGCTTTCATTAATACATTTCATTCACTATTGATATTCAATTCAATACAAGGATTTAGTGTTCATTTCAATTGTTCTCCAATTGTGTGCTATTTGTGCGACAATTAACTCATTATAAGCAGTGATTAGCCGTCACTTCAGTCACTGTTTTGTCTGCTTTTATACAACACTTGAGTCCAAAAAGCAATTGATTTGCAGTTCATTATAACCACTGATTGTCTGCCAATCGATACTTCATTTGTCTTTCAATTAAACCCAATATGGCTTCGGATCACGTCTTAAGTATTATCTCTTAATCCACTCTTTCATTGCGTTAATCCCTCTCACTATCGGACTTACCATTGATTGTCTCATAAATAAGACACAGTTTTACCGTTAATTATCTGTATTCGTGTGTCCATTGAGTCGATGACTAATGTAATGACAATTTGTCTGAAATGTCAGAAAACGACACAAACCTCACTCAACACATGAAGCACTCGAGCTCTGAAGACACGTCCGGACCCGACGAAGACGTGGACAACCAAACGGCTGATGCCATCGATGTGATAGAAGAAGACAATAATAGGAAAGACTCTAAAAGTGATGACAAATCCATGGGCNACATGAAGCACTCGAGCTCTGAAGACACGTCCGGACCCGACGAAGACGTGGACAACCAAACGGCTGATGCCATCGATGTGATAGAAGAAGACAATAATAGGAAAGACTCTAAAAGTGATGACAAATCCATGGGCGCAGACGTCACCCAAAAGGCCATCGAATCGGCCAAATATTTCGGAAGTAATGAAGCGATGGTTTAGGGGAAGGGATCCAGTGATAGTGTGCTGATTGTGGTCTCATTTATCTGTTGATTAGGTTTCATATTCAGTGCCGCCTCTAAAGCCCGACAGACAGTGACGGCGACCGCCAAACAACTCAAACATTCGGTCGAACACGCGGTAAGTCTTGCGGTCACATTGGATCCACTGATCATCACCTCTTTGGCTATATTTTTGTCATATTTTTTGTCTTGTAATACATGATTGAATGCGAAACTAATTTTAATAATCATTACATTAGTTGTGAGTAATTTGTCAATGAATTGCCATTTAATGTGATTCCTATGGAAATGACTATAAGTTTCGTAATAGTGTTAATGTTTTTGACTTACATTTACCAGATATTAGCCGTTTATCACAGATATTGTAAGTTACAGACCTCACAGACTATACAATTACCGACAATATATAAAATTACAAAACTTTTTTATATGATTAGTGTATTGAAAATGACTATGATCAATGAATATTAAGTTTTACACTGTTTGTTATTGTGTGGTAGACTATCCCTGATCCCAACCCTTGATTCATTGAAATTCTGTAGTATTCGTGTTGAAATCTATTCATTAATTAAATATTTGCCATTTATGTCTTTTGTGTGCCATTACTTGTATAGACCATTAAAATAGGTTTTATTGATGCAAAATCATTGATTTAATTGAGTCGTCGATTGTGTAGTTTTTTAAAGAAAAAGTATAAAAACTTTTTATTGACACTTATTTTTACGGTATATTCAATTGCTTACGAGACTTGAACACTAGTAGGTAGTCTAGTAGTTGTAATAGTGAATAGCCTTTAGTTTTGACATTTTTTGAATCCAATTTAATGAATGAATCCTTTTAGTGCTAAAAAGCAATCATTAGTCCCATAATAAAAGCCATTGAAATGCATTGAAATAAACACAGTCTGGCTCCCATATGCAATACACAAAAAACATCCCTGATTTTTATCAAGGCCTATTTTATATAAAGTTACAATGAAACTACACATAAAATATTACCATGATATGTCTAGACAACAAAACTAAAATAAGTGTACTAGGACACAGAATATTTTCTATTAGAAGTACTGTATGTACAGCATATGAGGGTCAGACTGTATGGAGGCATACATTACCCAATAAATTGCATAACAATTGGTTTTGAATTGAATGGATATATTGCAGGGAATTATGCAGGACTTCACTAAAGAGCAACAGGAGTTCATCCGCGAACACGGGGGCAAAGCGGAGGTGTCGGACGCCCCGTGGGTCGGGTGCGAGGACGAGGACAAAGTGAAGACAGAGATACTGTCCCTCTCTCAGGACAAACGCAATTTCGTGCGCAGCCCTCCCAGTGGTGTACAGTTTGCCTTCGATATGGACACCACTTACCCCATAGCGTTGGCCCTTCTCAAGGAGGACCCCAACCTCAACAAAATGCGCTTCGAAATTGTGCCCAAACTGTGAGTCCCTTTCC